GAAATTCTATCGTGTGAGCAAAAAAAGCTAGTAGCATTAAAGTTGTGAGCGAGTCTATATTTGACTATCACATAAATTAGTTTTTTAGAAGATTATTTCCGTAACCTTGTAAAAAATCTCAGAATAAATTATTTTAAATTATATTTAAACTATATTTTAAGAATAATTTAAACATTGTAAGAGAAACAGAATCAAGTCAAATTTCACCCACCCATGTCCACTATATTGGTAGGCCTGGCTTTAGACTGTCGCCCTGCACTGAGCCTTAAAAAGCATGCCAGCACTTGGGGGGGGGGGAGGCAGGACTCTTGCAGTCTACTTTGGGTTTTTGAGTGAAATATGGCAACCAGCATTACAGGTCAAGTATAACAGAGGTGGACCAATCACTGTCAGAACCTTGCTTAACCTAACAAACAGGAGATAGATCAAGATCTAAAAAAGTGAGCAGTAACTCACAAAAGCTCATGCTCTGCCAAATATTTTGTTAGTCTTTAAGGTGCTACTGGACTCTTGCTCTTTTCTGCTGTTTACAAACAGGAAGTTGCTTAAATTTTATCTATCTGCCCAAACTACTTATATCCCACTTTTCCCTGTGACTCAAGGCAGCTTATAAATCATACTGAAAAACATAATAGGGGTGTGCAAAAAAAAAAAGGCTTTTTTTCCTGCCTCCATTTTAGCCTATGGGGACCATAGTCAATGGGCCCCATAAGCTATAATGGAGAGTCAATCTGGGGCATTGAGGGGGCCGTTTTTTGAGGTAGAGGTACCAAATTTGCAGCATGGCTGCTGGTGCCTCTCCTCAACCACCCCTCCCCATTTCAAAAAGATTGGACTAAGAAGTCCAATTCTATGAGCCCCAGAAGGAGGTGCCCCCATCCTCCACTGTTTCCAATGAAGGGGGGGGGATGCCTTCTCAGTTCACTTGTAGACTGTGCTGTCAGCTAAAATGTTGTGCACCAGCACCCCCTAGCACAGCTTAGAGGGAACTTTGCATATTAATATCTTGGTTGAGTCTACCAAACGAAATAAGGTCAAGAGAAATTCCACTGTGAATTTATTAGAGGCTGCACGGAAATTAAGTAGCAAAATGATGAAAATTTCAAAACTGCTATAAATTGTATAGTTGCATATGTTTATGATAGGAATGCAGATTTTAATGGGGTGTGACCCAGAATTTTGGTCATAATTGGAGTGCTGGGCTAGGGAGACCTGATTTCAGATCCCTGCAGTCATACAGCTCACTGGGTGATCTTGGGTCAGTCACTCCTCTAGCCTAGCTTACCTCTCAAGGTTGTTCTGAGGAAAATATGGGGGAAAGGCAGAACTATATGCCACCCTGAGCTCCATGGAGCATCCTGAATAGATAATAACAACAGACACATTCAAAACAATTTACACAATTTTTGTAAAACTGAAAGTAAAATAAGGATTGAGCAGGGCTGCACTCTACTTAGGAGGGCAGCAAGAGCCAGAGAGCTTTAATTTCTCAAAAGTTTATATCCCAGAAATCTTGCTGGTTCTTAAAGTGCTACTGGACTTGAATCTTGCTCTTCTACTGTAGGTCAACACCTGAAACTACCTACAGGTGCCAGCAGTTCCTTCCTGTGATCATGAATGGACACAGGAGGGGAAAACAGAACTTACAAGGTCATGATTGAAAGGTTTTCTTTAACATCTTGGGGGTAAAAAACTATTGGTTCCATCCGCAGAGCTCCAAAGAGCTACAGCCTTCCTACCAGACTGTGTACAAACATGGAGATGATGAAAAGTCATACGCTGACGGCTTTCCTTGCAGCAAATTATAAATGCTGCATTGCCTCTGCATAGTAGAACGCTGAAAGAAGCATGCTCGGTTCAAGCAACCTGTGTATATTTAATATATTTTAAAGTTTAACAGAATGTTGTGGGCTTTCAAGAAATCTGTTCTGTGCAATTTTGCATCCTGACTAGCATAGTTACCCCACACCAACAGAATTACCTTTGCAGAGATAACTGACATTGTAACATGTCTCTTAAAGATGGACATGCATTTTCCTGGGGAACCCACATTGCTGAATCGCACACATTTACAAGGGAACATCACTTTTTTGTGGTCTGTTTGTGGTCGAAATGTGTGTAATTTTGCACCCTGACTCACCGGGCTGGGCACACGCTTGACTTGAGCTTCACGGTGGGGGTTACAGTGGACTGGATCACTGCTTTGGCAGTGCCATGGTCAGACCACCTTGCCCTGAGGGCCCATCTGAATGTTTCACCCTGACCCTGTTTGGGCAGCGAGTGTATTTTAGCTTGCCCACAGAGCCAAATGGAGCTGATGCGGCTTCAGATGGCTCTGTGGGATCCGATGCCCCCTGGCGGTTCATTAGATGAGCTTGTAGAGGATTGGCATAGCCGACTCTCTGCAGCCATCGGCGAGATCGTTCCCCGACACCCTCTTTGCCCTCGCTCCAAGCTTGCACCTTGGTATACCCAGGAGTTGCGGCTGATGAAGCGAGAGCTAGACCGCTGGACAGACGGTGGCGTGCCTACGATGAAGCTACAAGAACGTCCTGTAGGACATTTATGAGATCCTTTGAGATGGCAGTTAAAGCTGCGAAGAAAGAGTACTACGCAGCTTCAATGTCGTCTGCGAGCTCACGCCCAGCACAATTATTTAGAACGATTCAGTCCATGACAACACTTCCACAAAGCAGGTTAAACACTAGGGAATTGGACACTGGCTGTGAGGCATTTGCGACCTATTTCAGACAAAGTCTTGTCACTCCGCCGTGACCTCCCTGCCACAGTTAAGACAGTGAATGAACTCGAGGCTCCATGCACGTCTTCTAGTCAGGTTATGGATCACTTCAGTCCACTCAGCCTAGAGGAAGTTGACAAATTGCTCCTGGCTGTATGGCCTACCACGTGTCTCCTTGATCCATGCCCATCGTGGCTAGTGAAAGCTGGTCGCAATGGGTTCCGGGGTGCCCTAGAGGAGATAATTAACAGGTCCCTCTTGGAGGGGCTAGTCCCTGGTACACTTAACGAGGCAATGGTCCGTCCCCTCTTGAAAAAACCATCTTTGGATCCAGCCGAATTGGCCAACTATTGGACAGTTTCCAACTTGCCCTCTTTGGACAAGTTAATCGAGTGGGCTGTGGCAGTCCAACTACAGAGCTTTTTGGATGACACTTCCATTTTAGATCCCTTCCAGTCCGGTTTTTGTCCAGGACATGGAATGGAGACTGCACTAGTCGCCCTCATGGATGACCTCCAGAGGCATCTGGATCAAGGCGGGTCGGCAGTGCTGTTGCTGCCAGACCTGTCAGCAGCGTTCGACATGGTTGACCATCAGCTACTGATCCACCACCTTGCCGACTCTGGAGTTCAGGGGCTTATTTGTGGAGTGCCTCAAGGGGTGGTACTTTCCCCGATGCTGTTAAACATCTATATGCACCCCCTTGCCCAGATTGCCCAGAGGCACGGGCTGGGATGTCACCAATATGTGGATGACACCCAGCTCTATCTGCTGTTGGGCAGCCAGTCTGACTCAATAAGGAAGATCTGGACTGGGTGTTACAAGCTGTGGCTGGTTGGCTTAGACTGAGTCAACTGAAACTGAATCCAACAAAGACCTGAGCTGGGGTGGCCTGAGGGTAGGGATCCCACTCCCAACCTTCGATGGGGTGCAGTTGGTGCCAGCGCCGGAGGTTAGGAGCTTGGCAGTGCTCTTGGATGCCTCCTTAACAACGGAGGCCCAGGTAGCAGCCACTGCCAAGTCAGCCTCTTATAATCTTCGGCTGATCAGGCAGCTGGTTCCCTTCCTTGAACACAACAACCTGGCAAAAGTGATCCACGCAATGGTCACCTTGAGGTTAGACTACTGTAATGCTCTCTACATGGGGCTGCCCTTGTCTCAAATCCAGAAGCTGCAGCTAGTGCAAAATGCTGCGGCCAGGCTGTTGATGGGTCCCTCCACACAGGAACACATCCAGCCTGTGTTGAAAGCACTGCACTGCACTGGCTGCCAATAGCATACTGGATTCGCTTCAAGGTGCTGGTTTTGACCTTTAAAGCCCTTTATGGTCAGGGTCCAGCATACTTAAGGGACCGCCTTTCCCCATATGTTCCCCAGAGAACACTGCATTCAGGGGCCCAAAACTGGTTGGCCTTTCCAGGTCCCAAAGATACCAGGTTTGCGATAACCAGGGCCAGGGCCTTCTCAGTGGCAGCTCTGTACTGGTGGAATGAGCTCCCGAAAGAGATCAGGGCCCTGCGGGACCTTTTAGAGTTCTGCAGGGCCTGCAAGACGGAGCTCTTCCACCAAGCCTTCAATTAGGAGCCTCGTAAAACGTCTGAGGAGTGACCCTGTGCCCTGGCCTTACCACCTTTAGCCCGCCCTCGCCACATAAATAAGTAGATCAACGGCAGAGGTCATGTCGGGGGGGATCGCAGTTTCCCCAGGTGAGGTACGGGGGGGGCACATGATGAAGCCCCGCCCCCTGCTTCCGGCTGCCCCGCTTCCGGCCCTCATTCAGCCAGGAGGAGGCAGGAGAAGAGGGAGGGTAAGTTGCTTCCTCCCTGCCTCTCCCCACCCCTGCCTGCCTGGGGCCAGGGAGGGCCTTCGCAGGGTCCGGTGATGTCAGGAGGTGTGGCCTTATGGCACACTTCCGGTGATGTCAGGGGGTGTGGCATATGCTAATGAGTTATGCTAATGAGTTCCCCTAGCTCTTTTTCTACGAAACGACCCCTGATCAACGGAGATGCTGCAGGAATACCATCATGATTGTCACCTATGGAGTATTGTTTAATCTTGAAATTTCTGCTCTCGCACTTTATCTGAATATTGTTCCAGCACTTTAGGATAACTGATTTGTTTATGGTTTTTGGTTGTTTTTATGATGGACTTTAATTGTATTTATATGTGCATTTTATGTAAGCCGCCCTGAGCCTGCCTCGGCAGGGAGGGCGGGGTATAAATTGAATAAATAAATAAAGTATACTGTCACACTGTTTGCCAGGGTTTATTTCCCCCAAAATCTCACTTCTGGTATAGGATAACTATAGCACCGGAACACTGACATGATCGAAAGGTACCTTTGGGGTACCTGACGTCAGTGCCAGACAGTTGCATTTCTAAAGCCTGAGAACAGGAATACTAGTGTGAGTGCACTTAATATCACAGCTCTGGGATCTGACCCACCCAGTCTCAAAAATTTAAAAAGAGTTACACTGACTTACCAGCCATCAGAACTGCCGCCTGTGCTGGGTAGCTTTGGGTCAGAGTATACAAAGAACATTTTCCCCCATAGGGCCGCCGCTACCTGGACCCCAGCATGGGGCACGGGTTCCACAAGGAACTCCAAGCGGCAGGAAGCCTCAGACTGAGCCTTAGGCACCCTCAGATCAGTTACACGGTACAAGGGCGCGTGAGCTTCCCCAATCAGGAGCAGAGGAGGTTCAGGATCGTGATCACATGACCCACTCCGGTAGTGCACACGAAAGCACTTGGCCTCGCTAGGAGGATAGGTCCACTGCAAGGTCAGGCTGAGAGAGAGCTCCTCCGAGGAAAGGCGATGCCACTGGACGTGGGCCACTTCAATGGGTGAGGTTGGGCTGGCGGCAGCAGTGGATAGTGATGAGCGTAGGTGGGCAGCATCCGTCACCTATGGAAATTCAGGCACCAGGTTACTGTTGGGAATATCACAAAAGGAGGAAAGTGTCTACTGAAGGCAAGAAGCAGGGTCAGATGAAGCGGTCCCAAAGAGCAGGCACAAACGAGCCATGATTATTAAAACGTAGGACAGAGAGATGTCCATGGGCAGAGAACTGAGCATAGGGGGAGAGAAATGAATCTAGAGCAAGTGCCATCTTGGAAAACAGGATTGAATTGCAACCCCTTCAACCTTTCTAGGACCATGTGATTTGCACCTAGGATCCTCTCCGGGAGAAGCGCTTGCAGGACTAGGGGCTAGTTGGGGAAGCCAGTGTAACTCTACATTACTCTCTCCCCTGGTGAGTTCAAGCAAATCACATCACAGGGGAAAGGAGTCTTAACAGACACCAAAGATTGACTTGAGGTCTTGTCAGGATTAGGATCCTCAAGAACACGTGACATCACAAGGTCTGGCAGTTACACGGCAGAAAAGGAGAACTTGCAGAGTTCGCTGGCTCTTGGGAAACTTTGTAAGACAGTACAGTTGCCAAACTTTCAACTGCCAACTGTAACCGTGAGGTGAACGACACGTTTCTTCACTCATCTACACTAGTTTGCCCATGCTTCCCACAGTCACTCAGCAGCCACTGGGAAATGCTTCTTTAAAAAAAATAAAATAAAGAGCCCAGCTCAAATGGTGAAGAAACTGATCTTATAGCTTACCTCCATGCCTTTAACAGCGGCTTGATATGCAGAAACCAGCAGGAGATGATAATTTATCTTCATGGTGTGAAAAAATCTCACTGCTGATTTCTACACATGGGGATGTTAAAGTACAAGGATATGCCAGGCATGTTTCCTCTGATCAGTTGGCAACAGAGTGATATATCCACTGGGGCTGGTGAGGGAACAAGAATCTTGCCAGGTCTGTAATCCCAAAAGCATTACTGCAAGACTCCAATCTCCTTACTGCTCACACACAGCCTTCCAGCAAGGCTGAAGAGAGATAACGTGTTTCTTTTCCAGTGCAACTGTATATGCTAAGTATCTCAGTGTGTGGAGAGGCAATGTGGATGATGTTTCCTTTGGTAATTTAGTAGAGTCAAGAATTTAACCTAGGCGACTCTTGGGCCTTAACTCCTTCTCTTGTCATAAACAGAGGAAATCTTATTCTGAAACAGAGAACTCTGTGTTTCTTTTAAGGTAACAGTTCCTTTAAGGATTATGTAATGTCAATGCGACGTAGTCGTTACAGCATCAGACTAAGCCAAACTGCAAGGACTGAAGAGCACAAATCCATCCCATGGCTGCCAACACCGTTTTAAAAGCATCTGTAGTTTTTTAAAAATTGCCATGAAGCCACAATCCAGATCAGGAATGTGGCATCGTGAACACAGAAGGTCTTGTTCCCCCTCCCACACCTTTACAGGTACAGAAACAGGCACCTGGAAAAGTGAGGCGACAGGAAACAAAAGTTTCTGGGGCCACCATGCCACATCCAAATCGTGGCTTCGCGGCAATTTTTAAACCACTACAAATGCTTTTAAAATGGCATTGGTGGCTACAGGATGATTTATGCCCTCCCTCAGTTGTAGTTTGGCCCTAAGATCTCTGGGAGATCCCTAGTCTGCCATGCCCTTGGGCCAGGCACTCGCTCCCAGACTGACCAATCTTACAAAGTTAGTGGGAAGATAAAATGAAGGGGGAAATGCTTTACAAGCCAGTGAAAGGAGAAAAACTGAATATAAATAAATAAAAATCAAAAAGGTCAGGTGTGCTTCTAGGCCCAGCTCAAACCAGGAGACCAGCAGCCCCAGGGCCATGGGGAATCCTCCTGCCTGTACCAGGGCTGCTAAAAAGGTGACTCCCCCTGCCCCCATTTCCACAACCATTCCAGATTGTCCACCAACACTCCCCACTGTTCCCTCACCCAGATCTCTCCCAGGCGGTAGGTGAAGGGCACTTCATCCTGGCCACTGTGCTGACGGGAGACAGCAATCGAAAGTTCACTCAAGACACAGTTCTGGAGCTCCAGCTCATAGCATCTGGGAATAAGAGGCAGCCAAGTGTCAGGGTTCGGCCAGCTGCAAAAGTGCTGAGAAGTCCATGCTATGGGGCTCACCGCTCTTTGATTAGGAAACACAAAAGCCATCCTCACAAGGGGGCCAGTGTTTAGGCTACTGAGGCCAGGTCAGAAACAAGCTGTTTTCATGAGAAACTTGTGACAGAATTATGCTTTCTGCTCTTCACCATCCACTCACCGACCCTGCCAACCACGATCCCCATGTTGTCCACACCCTCTCAGTAACTGGGCCAGCTGGAAAGGAGGCGCCAGAAGAAGTGAGGGCTTATGCCGAGTTGCATCTGCCGGAGGAAACAGAACAATGAGAGAGAGGCAGCTGATACAGCAGGCAGAGGTTGGGGGAGGCAAGTCTCTAGAGAATGGTGACTAAAGACACTAGCCATTCAGACTAGAACTGCCACTGTCCACTCCATTTTAATAGACAATTCAGAAGGCGCCTCTTATAGCCAGTTACATTCCAGTGTTTTCTGTGTTTTTTTATTTTCTTTTTCCAGATCAAACGTATGGACAGTTTTTAAAAAATTAAAATACTGTTTCAGCACCTGGGTGTCTCATATGCACAGCTGGAAGAACTCTTGAAGTTTGTCAGGGCTACCTTCCCTTTACATTATCTTCCCTCTCTTATCTTTCCCAGCTTAACTACTTATTTCCTGTTTGACTCACCAATGACTGACTCTCACATTCACGAATCAATTGTAAATAAGCAATGTTTGTATGTTTGTGTGTGTGTGTGTGTTAAATACTGTTTTTACTTTGTAGCCAGCCCAAATCATTGCTCTTTTTAAAAAAGTCTTATTACTGTTTATTATTGTAACCATATAAAAATGCAGCAATGTCTGACTTTAAAAAAGAAGAAGAAGAAGAAGAACAGTGTTTTTGGCTGGCTAGAAAGTCCCCCCCCTCCTCAAATGAACCAAGAAATGATAATCTTGCTTGTGGGACTATACTTTAATGGAGAACCTAGTGCTATATTGGAGCTGCGGTGGCTCAAGTGGTTAAGACGCTGAACTGCAGGCTGCGAGACCCGAGTGTGCTGCATGACGGAGTGAGCTCCCGTCTCTAGTTCCAGCTCCTGCCAACCTAGCAGCTCGAAAGTAAGAAATTGCAAGTAGATAAATAGGTACCACTTAAGTGGGAAGGTAACAGCGTTCCGTGCGCCTTGGTGCTTAGTCATGCCGGCCACATGACCACGGAAACGTCTTCGGACAGCGCTGGCTCTTTGGCTTTGAAACGGAGATGAGCACCACAACCCTAGAGTCGGATTCGACTGGCTTTCGAGCAAGGGAACCTTTACCTTTATAGTGCTATATTAAGTAGTGTGTGGAATCACACCTTCAGTTCCACTTGCAGTTGAATACATAAAATTGATCCTTCAGCAGTATCTAAAAGATCACTGTTTGGATAGCATCTGTGGAGCCACTTAGCAAGAAGCCTGAAGCTACGGATTACCTTCTGTAGGCTATAAGAGCGAAGACTTCCTAAGGTAGAAGCTGAGAAGTCCTTACCAGGCCGAGCGAACACATCAAGGGTATAACAAGTGTGTGACTCCTGTGTTGTCAATTCCGGTACAATTGTCACTGCTCGAGATGGGCCTTCGTGTTTATAAATTAAAACAAGGTACAGTTTACGAGGTGCCGGCACCTGAAAGGAAAACAGCCTGGTGACACCAGGGAGACAGACAGGGAGGGAGAGAGAGACAGAGAGAGGACACAGTCACTGCCAACCATAGGCATAAGGCTCCCAAAAGCAGTGCACTAGAACTCCCAGCTACATGCACCTTGATCAAGCCAGTACAAAAGAAATGTCTAGACTCAGCAAGGACTGGCTGTTTGAAAGAGGCCCAAAGGATCTCAGGCTTTCCCAGAGGCCTCAGGCCCCCATCACACGCCTGCTGACCAGTGTTCCCTCTAAGCTGAGTTAGTGTGAGTTAGCTCACAGTTTTTTAGCCTCCAGCTCACACATTTCTGTCTTCGCTCAGGAAGGACGGCTCCAGAGCAAACTAATGTATGCAGTAGCCAAATCGCTCGCTCACAGCTTTAATGCCAGTAGCTCACCAAGTAGAATTTTTGCACACAAGACTCCACAGCTTAGAGGGAACATTGTGCTGACATGACTAGCATGTGACAGGAAACAGGAAGCTTCCGGATCTGTGCTACGGATCTAGCCACCCTTCACTTAGAACAGCCATGCCCATGAAAGCATCGATCTCCCCGAATTTCTTTCTCTGTCCTTGGTTTTTATAGCCACATGTAGTATTTCCCCCCCATGTTGTCCCTTGCATGAAGAATGCCACTACCAGGACCAATTCAGTTATTCATTCCCCACTCCTTGGGTCAAATCCACATCTAGATCCCTGCAGAGTGAAACTAAGTCACTGGTTTCATTCCACTTTTTACAGGTCAAGGACACAGACAGAGAATGAGTTCATTAGTAAACCAGCAGGAGAACAGATTTAATCCAGCTACAGCTGACCCACGATGACGTTTTGACCAATAAACTTGGGGGGGGAGACAAAAGAATGTAAGGAGAGCCTGAGGCACAGTGCAGAGCATCTGAGGAGTCGTCATCTAGATGCTCAACAGAATACTCTTTGTATTGAAACAGTTCTGTTCAGAACAGTCTCTTCTCCCCGGCACAGTGGTATTTTCAGCTCTTGGTTCAGCTGCTTGATCTCATATATAAAGAGAGACAGACAGATAGGCACAGACATAGTTTTACACTGCGAAGAGTCGGACTCAACTGTGCGACTGAACAACAACAGCAACAGTTTGTTTTCAGTACAGACACAAAGATTTAAAGACAGAACTGGTGTAGCGTCAAAATAAGGTGAAGAGATAAGAATTAGTCTCTTGCAGACTTTTAGATCTTTACTGCCTGATTCTAACCATGTTTAATCAGAAGTAAATGAGTTCGATATGCCAGCTACTCCTCAGTAACAGCATTATTCATACACCGTACTGGCATCAGCAAGGTTTATTATGATGTGTAAGGAGATGTATTTGATTATTTGCCAAGTGCATAGACAGCTTCTAGATGACTGCAAGTTTGGATGGAAACACAGAAAAATCACATTTTTTAAAAAGATACAAAGATTGCGGAGTGTATGCAAAACAGCAAAAGAAAAGAAAAATACAAAGTGTTTGGCTACAGTTGCCAGCTGGCAGGAGGGGGGGGAAGTCCCATCCTTTCAACAGGGGTTTAATAGGGTGGTTTCTAGCAGGTGATGCCATGGAAAGCTTCAGCAGCCTTTCTCCACAAATAAAGCCTTTATTAAAGGGTCAGAACATTTTCCTCCAGGACTGTTGGCAACCCCTTGGCTAGCATAGCAGTGAAGAAAAGCAGCACGAATTTGGTTATGTTTAGTTAGAACAAACTGATGGGGTAGAAGTTTTTTTTAAAAAAAAGAAACGATAAGTGGAGTGAAGAGCAGGCAAAGTTGCAGACCGGAAGGTCTATCGTTTGACAGTTCGAGACCCGAGTGCCACGGGACGGAGTGATCTCCCGTCTCTGGCCCCAGCTCCTGCCAATCTAGCAGTTCGAAAGCAAAAAATTGCAAGTAGATAAATAGGTGCCGCTTCGGTGGGAAGGTAACAGTGTCCCGTGTGCCTTGGCATTTAGTCATGCCGGCCACATGACCACGGAGACGTCTTCGGACTCTTCGACTTGGAAACGGAGATGAGCACCGCCCCCTAGAGTCAGATTCGACTCACTTTCGAGCAAGGGAAACCTTTACCTTTTTAAATACTTTCTGCCTGTACAAATACTGGGCAACCGTGGCCAAAGAGAGTGAAAGAACCTTCTCCACTGGAAGGCTGAGAAAACAGGGATGCTGACCAGATCTCATTTCAGAAAAGGCACAGGTTCAACTGAACAACCATTGAAGTCCATTCAAACCCTGATTCTGTACCACCACCGTGCAGGCCCATGTGTGAGCAGCCACAATGCCTATTGCAAATGCAAGCACAAGCACTGTCTGCACACACATTGTGTGTTACATGCTCTCCCTTGCTACAAGCCAGTGTTCCTTAGGTGCAACTTCCTCTTCTTTGCACAACATCTCCTCCCCAGCCAGTCAGGTTTCTGCCCCCTCAGCTGGTACTCACCTTGCTGTGATGTGATTGGCACTGGGTGGGATTGCCCCCTCCAGCAGAAGGGAACTACCCCCACACCAGGCATCCTGCAAGCAGCAGCGGGTCCTCAGCCAGCCCCCGGTAGGCAGGCGGTGGCTGGTGTACAGGGGCTGGGCCTCCTGAGCACTCAAGTTGTACCAGGGCTTGGTCCCATTTTCCTGGTTTAAAAAATCATTTACACACTGAAACAGGGCGGATCGATAAAGTACAATTACTAACAAGTGATCATTCTTGTACTCCCTCCCCGTCTCAAACATATACACACCCTTCTTGAGAGCACTTCAGTGAAGTTTGCATTTGCCTGTTTCATGCAAACTGTCCATTTACCATCTGGAAATATCAAGCCTCTTGCTCTACAAAGGTCAGTCTAGTCTGCATTTCTTTCTAGCTAATTAGTGAGTGCATTTTTTCCTGCTAAATAGTTCAAAGTTTCCCCTCTAATCAGCAAAACACTTGCAGGCCCTGCCTGCTGAGAAGAAAAAGATATTCCAAAAGCACTAACTAATTAAGTTCCTCTGCTGCAGATCTAAAAGTCACTATTGTTCAATAAAAGAGCTGCAGAAATAAACTCCAGTGTAAAACTACTGGACTAGAAGTTTAGCTGGAGGTTTTATAGTATTTGTCTCAGTCTTAATTTAAATCAGAATTCTGTCACTCACTTCGGGCATTAATCAGTTTACAATAAAAACCACCATAATTTATCATATAATATGTGGTGGCGAAACTGGTAGTACAATACCAATGAAACACAGTACAGTATTCCTACATCAGCTGAAATGCTCACATGAACATCTGTTTTCATCTGCCTACAGATGTTCAGATTCAATGGATCTCTTCATGGAGGGAGTCCCACAACTGAGGACACCTTGTTATATGCCCTCACAAATCATATCACAGCAAGCCTTTGCCACCAGGACCAGTGTTGAATTAGAACGGGGGAAACTTGGGTTTAAATCCCTACTCAGACATTAAGTTACCCGGGTGACCTTTGGCCAATTACTTTCTGTTGCCCTTACCTACTGCATAGGGCTGTTGTGAGGATAAAATGGAGGGGATTTGATCTATGAAAGGTTGCCAGCTAGCCCCAGAGCTCGCACTAGAACTTCAGAGCAGTTAAAGGTAAAGGTTCCCTTGCTCGAAAGCCAGTCGAGTCTGACTCTAGGGTTGCGGTGCTCATCTCCATTTCAAAGCCGAAGAGCCAGCGCTGTCCGAAGATGTTTCCGTGGTCATGTGGCCGGCATGACTAAACACCAAGGTGCACGGAACGCTGTTACCTTCCCACCGAAGTGGTACCTATTTATCTACTTGCAATTTCTCACTTTCGAACTGCTAGGTTGGCAGGAGCTGGAACTAAAGACGGGAGCTCACTCCGTCATGCGGCACACTCAGGTCTCGAACTGCTGAACTACTGACCTTCCACAGCCTGCAGTTCAGCGTCTTAACCACTTGAGCCACCGCAGCTCCTTTCAGAGCAGTTACACACTGCCATTTCTCTTACTTCAAGTATAGCAGCACTTGGCACGGCAGCAGCTACATAACCTTCCAGCTAAGTTCTGCAGAACTACATATGATATGACAAAGAGAAAAAGAGAAGCGGGGTGGTCCTCTATTACTTCCAGGTTATTGTTTTTCTGTTTCCTTCAAAAGGGTGCATTTGGAATTCTCCCTGAGGGTGGGGATTGCAAGGAAAGTGGTGGGTTTGCAGAGTTCAGCATGTGGGAATAAAAAAACACCCTGCCTGCCAGGATTCCTTTGTAAATCACACACACACACACACACACCCCAGTGACTGCTTAGCTGTAGTAAAGTCGTGTCTTGGGTCTGGAAACATGGCAATGAGATGCAACAGCTTTGATATGTTGCAACAGAGCCTGCATTTTCAGGAAAGACTGGCACATTCTTAGAAAAGGTGCTGCCAACTCTAAAAGGATGCCTGCATGGTTAACAATCCAAGTCAAGGAAGCCATAAAATGCAAAAAGGCTTCTTTGAGTAAGTGGGAGGTCTGCCCCAATGAGGTGGACAGAAGGGAGCACAAGGTCTGGCAAAGAGAGTGCAAGTTAATAATCATGCAAGCAAAAGGAGAACTGGATGAGTGGGGTTGCTAAAAGCATCAAGACAAGCAATAAGCATCAAGACAAGCAATAAGCATCAAGACAAGCAATAAGCATCAAGACAAGCAATAAACACATCCAGAGCAGGGAAGGGTCCTGATGGCATGGATCCAAGGGTTCTCAGCAAACTCAAATGCAAAACTGTTGATCTACTACCTAGTACAGTGGTGGCGAACCTATGGCACGGGTGCCAGAGGTGGCACTCAGAGCCCTCTCTGTGGGCAGGCGTGCCATCGCCCCAGCCAGGCCCAGACCATCATCAAAGTGTCGAATTCTCTGCCAAATAATTTTAAGTAAATGAAAGCATTTGGAATTGCTTTCCTTACTTTGTTTGGATCATCTTAAGTTAATGTATGAGTTGTTTTTTTTCTAAAGTAAAACCTCAGTATTCAGGTTAAATTGCCATGTTGCCACTTGACGATAAATAAGTGGGTTTTGAGTCGCAGTTTGGGCACTCAGTCTCTAAAAGGTTCGCCATCACTGACCTAGTATATGTTAACTTGCCACTAAAGTCATCCACTGTACCAAAAGACTGGAGAGTAGCAACTGTTACACTGATTTTTAAAAAGGGGTCCAGAAGGGAAACAGGAAATTATAGGCCAATTAGCCTAATGTATGTTCCAGGTAAATTAGTAGACACTGTAGTTATTAGGTACATAGAGGAACAAAATCTGCTGAGTGAAAATCTGAATGGTGTCTGCCTAACCAGTCTTCTGAAGTTTGAGAAAGTGAACAAATTTGTAGACAACGATATGCCAGTAGACATTATATACTTGGACTTTGAAAAAGATTTGACAAGATACCTTAGCAAAGACACCTGAGTAAACTTAGCAGTCATGGGATAAGACTATCGGTCCCTTTATGGATTAAAAATTGGCGAAATAATTGGCAACAGAGAGCAGGAATAAATGGACCGTTCCCTCCACGGACATAAGTAAACAGTGGGGCCCCATAAGTATCGGTACTGGGGTTGGTGCTATTTAATTTATTCTGGAACTGGGCATGAGAAGTGTAGTGGCCAAGTTGGCAGATGACACAAAATTACTCAGGATGGTGAAAACCAAGGTGGCTGTGAAGAGCTCCAGAAGGATCTCTACAAAATAGGTGAGTGGTCAACAGTATGGCAAATCAAGGCCAGTGTAGGTAAATGTAAGGCGATGCACACTGGAACAAAGAATCCCAACTTTAAGTATATGCTAATGGGATATAGCCTGGGCCATCCAGGTCAGGGTGGGGGCATAAGGGAGGTTTAGAAGATTATGCACGGGGTAGAGACAGTGGACAGAGAGAACTTTTTCTCCCTCTCCCAAAATACTAGAACTCAAGAGCAAACAATGAAGTTGATGGGCAGTAGATTCAGGACAAAAGGAAATATTTATTTACACGACCAATGATTAAAATGTGGCATTCACTGCCAGGGGATGTAGTGGTGGCTCAGACATAGACTGATTTAAAGAGGGATTAGACAGATTCGTGGAGGATATGTCTGTCGGCAGCTACTAGCCACGGTGACTAAAAGGAACCTGAATCCCAGTACCAGGAGGCAACATTAGGGGAAGGCCTCAGCCTCTATGCCCTGCTGTTGGCCCACCAGAGTAACTTGTTGGCTACTCTTAGAGGCAAGATGCTGGACCAGATGGGCCACTAGTCTGATCCAGAAGGGCTCTTTCTATGTTCTCATGAAATCTAGCTAGGAAGACAGCTAGTCTGACACAGAAAAGACCTGAAGGACAAAAAGTCCATCCCAAAAAAAAGCCACGGGCTAAACTGGCAGGTAAACAAGTGGGAAGCTGAGGACCTGTGCTCTTCTTCCCTTGGTATCCCATGCCTAAAGGATCCTGGTTTCTTGATGCTTAAATAGGGCTTGAGGTTCAAGAAGTCCAGAG